TTGATTTGTTTGAAAATTTCAGGGCTGGTAGATCTTGACCTGTTTAACATTTTTACCCCATGTCAGATTTGCTCTAAATGCTTTACTTTTTGAGATATAAGCCAAAAATTGCATTTGACCCCTATGTTCTATTTTAAGTCATGGCGGCCATGTTTGTTGATGTATCAAAATTTCGGATACAATTTATAAACTAGATACCCCAAGGAACATTCATTTAAAGTTTAAAGGTATTTGGCCCAGTAGTTTCAGAGGAGAAGATTTTTGAAATAGTTTACGACGACAGACGACGACGACAGACGACGGACGACGACGGACGCAAAGTGATGGCATAAGCTCACATGGAGCCCTTCGGGCCCGGTGAGCTAAAAAGGAAGATTTCTGTCATATTCATCGTTTAATATAAACAAATATGTTAGCCTTTTTAAACATATCTTTAATAACATTTCAGTACTTATGGAAAGAGTTATTCCATTTCATCCTTTGATATTAAAGGATATACTAATTGTAATCGCAAAATTGTAATTTGACAGATGTGAATAAAAGTTAATGAAAAAAATCCAATTTTGTCATTGAAAACCTTTAAATATGTTTCAGTAAATTATGAAGCTGTAAAAGAAATATAACTAGTTAATAAGTCAAACAATTAAAAGTGAGAAAAAATATATACCTACTGTACTACATTTGGGGATTGGTGGTAATGAAATCAAATTATTTAAGTTATCTATGCATTTTAATTTTTAAAGTTTAATGATAAAAATGTCACTTAATTGTTTGCATTTATGTCTGTTAATGCACATAGCGCATGTATAAAAAATGCAGGTCTTTGTCTATTTACTATATTAATATAACCAACATGGTAGTTATAAATAAATAAAACATCAAGAAGCAAGCACGAAACTACGAAAGCCTATTAGGGTCACAAAAAAAAATATTTATCGCGTAATTACGAGATAATTATCTCGTAATTACGAGAAAACTATCGCGTAATTACGAGATAATTATCGCGTAATTACGAGAAAACTATCGCGTGATTACGAGATAATTATCGCGTAAAAATTACGAGATAACTATAATGTAATTACGAGATAATTATCTCGTAATTACGAGATCATCATCGCGTAATTACGAGAAAACTATCGCGTAATTACGAGATAATCATTTTTTTGGCTCGTAATTACGAGATTATCATTTTTATACGCCCGTTTACGAGACGTATTATGGTATACCGTTGTCCGTCTGTCCGTCTGTCCGTCCGTCGTCAACATGTCGGACATTAACTCAAAAACGTTTAACTAATTTGCAAGAAATTGTGGTGAATTGTTTATATCTATTGACATGAGCTCCCTTTCGACTTTTATATATTTTAAATTTTACGTTTCCGAGTAACAGGGTTTTATTCATTAAAAAAAGGGGGATTTTCCAGTTTTCGGACAAAAAATAAAAAATGCTTTCAGCAGTTCTTATAAAACTTTGGTGAATTGTTTATATCTATTGATGTAAGCTCTGTTTAGAATTTTATAAATTTTTCATTTATCATTTCTGAGTTATTGGGTTTTATTCATTAAAAAAGGGGTGATTTTCCAGTTTTCGGACAATAACTTTAAAATGCTGTCAGCAATTCTCATGAAACTCTGGTGAATAGTTTATATCTATTGATGTAAGCTCCCTTTACATTTTCATAAATTTCTAATATGACATTGAGAATTAATTGAACTTTATTTGTTAATAGTCTGACAACAGATTTACTAATTATTGCGCAACAGCACAGTGTATTGCACAACAGCAAGAAATCTTTAATTGAATATAAATTAAATTCATATAACCAATTTCAAGTTCTTTGACTTCATTTTTTCAGAAACCTATAATATGTCAAATATTTAATTACAATCGAAATTCTGACCTGTATCAAGTTTGAATATTGTGTCCATTTTTGCCCCAACTGTTCAGGGTTGGACCTCTGCGGGCGTATCCAGCTGCGCTCAGCGAAGCAGTTTATTTTATCTCGTAATTACGCGATAGTTTTCTCGTAATTACGAGATAGTTTTTCTCGTAATTACGAGATAAAAAAAAATGATTATCTCGTAATTACGAGATAGTTTTCTCGTAATTACGCGATAATTATCTCGTAATTACGCGATAATTATCTCGTAATAACGCGTTAATTATCTCGTAATTACGCGATAATTATCTCGTAATTACGAGATAAAAAACTTCTTATCTCGTAATTACGAGATAGTTTTCTCGTAATTACGCGATAATTATCTCGTAATTACGAGTTAAAAATGATTATCTCGTAATTACGCGATAGTTTTCTCGTAATTACGCGGTAATTATCTCATAATTACGCGATAGTTTTCTCGTAATTACGAGATAAATATTAATTTTTTTTGTGACCCTAATAGGCTTTCGTACGAAACTTAAGGTGAATCAATATAATATTGCAAATTAATAATATCCTGGGGAGAACACTGGATTGTTTTGCTTTCAGTAATTATATAATACACCTTGCCTAAGAAATAGGTCTAGCCATGTCCTTATAAAAAATGGGGCTAAAATGATGTAAAATTACCATATTTACATAACAGCTGCATTTTTTGCATTTAACATATATCCTATATGTACATAGAGAACAACAGATTAAATGCACATGGTGTTAATTTCTGTTACCACCTAAGCATTAATTTTAATAGGTGGCAGCAAATAGGGCAGATTGGCCTATACATGTGGTGTCCACACATCTACTCTGTTGTTCCCAAGTCTAAAAATTCTGCTCGCCCTGGCTAAGTCCTCAACATCTTTCTTTTCTAAAAATAGATCAGCAGTAGTAATGGAGCACTTAATATATAGTCCAGTGCATGGGCGGATCCAGGGGGGAGGGGGGGGCCGGGCCGGGCCCCCTTTTGTGGGTAAAATTTGATTGATTATATAGGGAATCACTGAAGCATGACTGGAGCGCCCCCCCCTCCCCCCTCCCTTAGGTCAGTCAGTGGGCCCCCCTTACAAAAAGTTCTGGATCCGCCACTGCAGTGGTTTAGTCCTGTCTTTGTTTCTCTCTTATTTTCTTATTTATATCATTATTAATATATTTCTTATATTTTCTTGTAAGCCACCAATCCACAACTTCTCGATTTCCTATGGTGCCTGAAAACACTGAACAAGTTTTGTTCATTGCTGAGGTCTGTAAAGTGACTTATAACTGCTAACAGCCACATTGTTTGGACTCTAGTGGATAGTTATCAGACTGTTATCTCATTGGCAATCATACCACATCTCCTTATTTTAGTACGGGTTAATTATTTGAAATAAATGACTAAGGGAGCTGCCATTTGATTTTTATGGGGGGGGCTAGGATGAAAAATTTTGTCCTGCATTTTTTTTAGTTGTAATCTCTGTCCTGCCTTTTTATTTTTCACTCTATTCGGTCCTGCCTTTTTTTTTTTTAGTTTATTCTGACTTTTTTTTTACATCTCCTTTTCTTCATATCTAAATGTTTCAAAAGATATATTTGCTTTCAATTTACATATCCCCCCCCCCCCCCCCCCCCCCAATAAAAATCAAATGGTAGCTCCCTAACAAACATTAAATCATTTTAAAACAAATAATTCTGCAATAATTTATGTGGTCATTTTAAGTTTTCAGTATCTATATATATATCAACAATAAGTTGTATAAATGGTGTCACTATGTTTGTTATTGTCAAACTAGTATAACAATACTATTGTCTAAATCTACAGAAATGGATCGTGCTTTAAGTAACAGTGTATGATGATGTCACTAGGTCACCTGTAACTTATCTCTTAAATAAGGACTATGTGGGGTATAAGATCTTGCTTACTATAGGCTCTTCATAATCATTTTGTTAAATAATTCTACAAAGAAGGGGATAGTCTGTAAATGTATCATTGACTAAGAATAATGAAATTGCAAGAAACAAATTCACATATTACTTTAAATTTGAAGATTGTTCAGGTAGTCTTGAGCTATTTCTTTGTACAACAGAACAACCAGTAGTCATCTTCACTTCACTTCACTTCACACACATATATATATATATATATATATATATATATATATATCTTGACACACAAATAAAAAAGCCATAGACATTAAAAACAATTCATATCTATTCTATAGTCGGTCAGCCTACATTGTACCTACCATGAACTGAAAAGTCTCCTAAGATTCAGTAGGTAAATTATGTGAAAATCAAGACTTGCATCAAAAATATACAAATATTAGAGACAATGGCGTCATTTTTCCTCAGAGCAATCAGCTCTTTGATTCATTGGTATGACCAGCGAGGGCTCAACTTGAAAAATTAAGTACCAACAGTCGAAGAGGATCTGAGATAGTATCTACATCCTCAAATTTTGATCAAAATTTGGGTCTTATCTAAGGAAAGGAGCTTATTAAACAAATAAGGTCGAATATTATACGTTTGCATGTGTTAATGCCAAATCGCTCCTCGGTATGGAGAGGAATTCTGCCACATCAAAAATTGGCACTTGCCTATTATTTCGACGCGTACAAGAATTAATTTAGCTGTTCGTAATATATTCAAAGGTGAAATAAATCACGGCCTTGTAATTTGTCACCTTAATATACATGTGTAACAGCTAAAAAAAAAGATTTGTTCAGTCAAAATGGAGTACACGTGTCAAGTGAGGGTAATGGTGTCTTCTTGAACAATATGAAAGGAGTGTTATGGTTGTTTGCAAGTTATTTCCCGATTAAGTCCTCTTTATCTTATTTCAGAACCTTGTAGTAATCTCGTTTCGCTCGGGATGAAAGTGTCATTTGTTGGAATCTGGTAAGCTGACAAGATGGCACTTTTGTTGTTATGTTATCAGAAGATCACCTACTTACCAATGTGTGTATTTTTTTCCCTGCGGCAGATATCATTCGTACAGTATTTCTTAAATTATTTAAATCTTTCATTAAATTCAAACCTCATGTTGGAGTATCAATCAATCAATCAGATAAATATATATATATATAACTTGATTTCACATTTTTTTTATTACAATGATTAAAAAAAAACAGGTTTTTTTTATCTTTAAAATCAAATGATCAAACACATTATTATATACAATACTTTATACAACAAAGTAATCTTTAGGTGAAAGTATAATAAGCAAATTATATAATGGGACTTTTGTATCATATTATTCAACTGTTATTTTTATCATTCTCTCGTGTATTTTTATACACTATGTACCGATACTCCATGGCCAGTTCTTGAATTAACTCTATGCGATCTACTTGGTACTTTCAGTTCTTGTTTTGAATTTATTTTTTCTTTCCGATTGGAACCTGTGGCCCACCTTGTATACCACCCGGAAGTATACCTCCGACCTGACCCGGCACACCACCAATGGCACCAGGTATACCTCCCTGAACAACACCTGGGACAACTCCAGGAATAGTGCCAATCGTTTGTGGTTGTGTTCCGGGGCTGGCTTGATTACAAGCAATCTGTGTACACGACGCCTGAAATAAGAAACAAAATACCATTAAACACTTGTACAGCTCTGTATGTAACAAACCTCTAAGGTACTAACCTAACAATCTGTGGAAAGTATAAGGTTTTTTTTTAATAAATTGTTTGATTTTTTTATTTCTTGGGAAAAATAGTAATTGTTTCAAAAGAGTAATGAACAAAACAGTTTGTTTTCACTGAAAATTGGGTAAAATAATTAGTTTCATAAGAAAATTAGTTCACACTTGAGTTTCAAAAAAAATCTTGTTATCGTATGTTATTGATAAAAAATGTGGGTTTTTTTAAAATCAAAGTCGAAAAAAAATGTTTGCTTTTATTTATATTGATATTTTTGGTTAAAGACCTAAAACCTTTGCTACAAACATGTTAAAAATAACATTCTTGTTGCTTAGTCTTTAGTTTTCTATGTTGTGTTTTATATACTGCTATTTGTCTCTCTGATCGTTTTTCGTTTGTTTTTCGTTGTTGTTTTTTTGTGTTTTTTTTTTACCATTGCATTGTCATTGTTTTCGACTTTGATATTCCTATGGTATCTTTCGTCTATCGTCTTTCTTTTACATAAAATCCAATCATCATTCTTAGATATACAATAAATCAATCAATGATATTTTGGAATGAAACTTTAATATATAAGTAGCATTTCTTTTTTGAGATTTTCTAAGCTGTAACATTATTATCAAGTCTGTACTTTTGACCTGACAAAATGATTGATTTATTAAGACCATACCTGTCCATTTTGTGTATTACAAGTACATCTGTTACCGCAGGTGTCAATCTGTTTTGTTTGTCCAACTTGTATAAATTGATTCTGAGCCCTGCAGCCTGTTAAAGATATAGGAAAATTGGATAAAATTGGATAATTTTCTAAACATTAGAATGAATAAATCACGTTTCGTATTTCTTCAGAAGAGTGTAATGATATTCTATGTTCAAGTTCAAGTTATTTTAGCAACAGAAGCCGATTCAAAAATTCTTTGATGTTTCCCTCTGTTAGACGTATTTACACTTTTTGTATTTAGCTGAATGATTATTTATTTAAACTCAAATCAAAGAAGAAGAAGATATTTCAATTGCATCGTATCCATTGGATAATACATAATTATAAAAACTAAGAAGTTAAAATATTTTTGGTTTGGAAAGTTGCTTATAAACAGAAGGCAACATACAGTCTTCAAAATTCTTTTTTTTTAATTTATCATTATAGTGTTCTTGACAATTCGAAATATTTATGATCTTTAAATTTAAACTGTGGCATTATATTTGTCTTCCTTAGAAAAAAAGCCAGCTTATCACATTCTACGAAGTAAAATTGATCAACAATTGTCTTTGGTTTGATAAATATCAAAACCAAATCGTAAATGAATCTGACTTACCAGGAATACATTGACAAGGTAGCACTGGAATCCATGTAGGACATATATAAGGAAGTCCCACGTTACTTCTGTAAACACATTGTTGTCCAATTCCACATCCTCTGTAATAACAATAACAATACATTTTATATCTATTCATTTTTTTTCGATTCTTAGATAGGCATTTTAGTTGAGTTTTGACGAAAATCGTGTTTGTTGGGCTTTAATTCCTTTTCCTCTTTCCTCACACAATTATATTTTCCGTTCAAATAAACCATTAAAACATCATAACCTCCTGACAAGAATAATCATAAAATTTTAAAAATTTATGTTTAATAATAATTGGTTAACATTAATTTAAATGTAATGACTTCACTACAATTTATATTATTTTCAATGATTGAAATCAAATACATTCATCTAGGTTTTTTTTTCTTCTAATATCATTAGTTTTTGTTCAATTTAATTATACTCTATAAAAAGTCTGAAAAAGTGTCGAGGCGACTATATTCATTGAAAAATTAAAAGGTCAGAAGTCTATTCGCCAATAGTCCGCCATTGTAGGAAGTTAAACATTTTACCGTTTATATCTATATTTTTTTCTTCACAGACCAAAAGAGATTCTTAATTAAATGCAAACGTTATTATGCCAAGTTCCTTTGAAATAAACTATTCCTCTGTAAAATACGGATACATCCAAGAAATTAAATATCTGAAATAGTTATATTCGAAATGATTTAGTTGTTCTTTTCCGGTATCCAACTGAAAAGGATTTGATTTTTAGTTCAGAAATAAAGATTTGAAATTACTTGTCTGTTTTTATATAAATTGGGTGTGAATATAGTGCCCAAAACTAGTTGTAAAACATCATCTGAACGTTTTAATTACCTTATTAATGGCGCGGCAATATCATTAGTATTGATTGCTATAAATGGGCATTTATTATTCATAATTCTTAAGATTTCCATATTGACAGATCTTTTCTCCTTTCGAATAAAATGAATGGTCCTATTTATCGATATATTATTGCAGAACAAACTATGCCTATTTTTTGTTTATTTCTTTTGAACGTTTTTTTTTTATAGAAAAGCAGATATATTTTTTTCTTAATGTAGATTTGAACATTTTTGATTAATTTAAATAACACTAATATAAAGTGGCCTTTAAAAAGGCATCATTTTTGCTATTCTTATTGCTGATGTTTTTCTATTTATGAATTAAAGGAATTGCGGAAACCATTTAAGGGTCAGCCGTATACATTTTTTTACGTGTATTGATAATATAATTGACTTCTAATTATTTCAATTAGAACCTTGGATTTAAAAGTTATATTCTTATCATTTTCATAAAGATAAGGCGTAAAGATAAAGCATTATGACCACAAAACAATGTCTTCTATAGACTCCACGGAGTCCTCATAACATAAAAAAATAATAAAAAACCAATTAATGGTAAAAACAAAATCGCATATTTTTTTTACAACATTCGTACTTGCGCGTTATCCCGTTGACGGAGGCTGCCATTTTGCAAATCAAATGATTTCCCGCATATGCGTATATCTGATTACCAACAAGTATCATGAAAAAAGACGGACTTCGTCCTCTTTATCTCGTATATTATTACAACGATACGATACGTACCTTACATGACAACTGTTCGGATTACCAACACTTTGTTGTATAAACTGTTGATTTTGTGCAAAATTATTAACTCCATTAAATCCCTGCTGTCCAGGAAACTGTCCTGGAATTTGATTCTGAAATCCATTTTGGCCAATTATTCCCTGCTGGCCAAATTGCTGGCCTGGAAATTGTCCTTGTTGTCCAAATTGCTGGTTTTGAAATTGTCCTTGTTGTCCAAATTGTTGGCCTGGAAATTGTCCTTGTTGTCCAAATTGCTGGTTTGGAAAACCACCCCCTTGATTAAATTGTTGTGCATTGAAGCCATAAATGCACAAGGTAAACACGAAAATGGGTAACATGTTTCTACGAAAATTCAAAATGAATGAAGAAATACCTTGATTAGCTTTTATACCGATTTTAGGTTAAAGTGATGTGTAATATGTTTGCATGGGAAGAAACACGTCACAACTGTCAGAAAATGTGTCAATGTGATGATTTCAGATATGGACAGTTAACGATAAGTACATGATTTTTATCGCCAATAGCATTTAATTAATCATAGATTTTCTCCGGGTATGATTTTTCGTCATCTTCAATTATATGAATGTTAACACCTTCTTACAACATATTAGGTCAAGTGATTAGTAATTTGTAATGCATTAAGAAATTTTGTAACCCAGATTTTTTATATTACAATTGAAATGCAAATTACAGGGCATTCTTTTGAGTTATTTTTTTTTTTATCATTATTGAAACAATTTCTAAAAATAATAATACTGATGACTCTGTCTTGTGTTAAAGGAAGTGCAAATCGTTCTATTACTCGTTACGGATGTTATCATTCTGTCTGCATTCCTACCCAGTGCATTTCTTTTGAGTTCAATTTCAAACATATCAAATCTAGGTTTTGGAAAATAACATGTCTATGCTATGAAATTGAAAAGAGTCTTTAAATTTTATTAACTTAAAATGGCAATATGACAACCTTGTGTACTCTCGGTCTTAATATCAATTTGTATCATTAATTGAAATCGTTTATAATCCACCCCGTGTTCAAAGTAGTTGTGAAGCGTAGTATAGTAAGTATAGGATTTTTCAAATAAACTCGAATAAAATGTATTTAAAAAAAAAATGTCCTGAATGACTGACAACAAATCGGGAAAACATTAATCAAATCAACTAAGAGAACAAAATGACAAAACGGCTCATATTATTGACTTGGTTGAGATTTATTAGTTGACTATCTACTTTCACACTTTACAAATACAAACTTGCATCGGAAATAAACACATTTATTCCAACACCAGTTGTTGGCATGATACGGGTTATGTTCTTCTCATATATTTTATGATGGTATGATACTAAACCTCTAACGGGAGGGATTGTGCTTTCAATCAGTTTAATTGAGGTCTGGAGCTGGCATGTCAGTAACTGCTAGTAGTCCTTTGTTAATTTATGTATCATTGTCATTTTGATTAGTTTCTTTTGTTACCTATTCTGACATCGGACTCGGGCTTTTTTTAAACTGAGTTTTACTGTGCGTATTGCTGTGTGTTTGTTTATTCTACATTGGCTAGAGGTATAGGGGGAGGGTTGAGATCTCACAAAACATGTTTAACCCCGCCGCATGTTTGCCCTTGTCCCAAGTCAGGAGCCTCTGGCCTTTGTTAGTCTTGTATGTTTTTTAATTTTAGTTCATTTATATGTTTTGGAGTTTAGTGTGACGTCCATTTTCACTGAACTAGTTCACATTTTTGTTTAGGGGCCAGCTGAAGCCCGACTCCGGGTGCGGGATTTTCTCGCTGTTTTGAAGACCCATTGGTGGCCTTCGGCTGTTTTCTGCTCTTTGGTCGGGTTGTTGTCTCTTTGGCACATTCCCCATTTCCATTCTCAATTTTATTAAACGGTTAAAAAATAACAACCTGATTATATTGTTTTAGTGTACACTCTAGTATCTAATATTCCCTTGAATTATGGAATAAAGGATATTTTAAGTTGTCTTATTATTGCAAATCTATATAATGAAACTAATGTTGCAGTTGACCCCCCTCCCCCCCTTAATTTTGACTTAATGCCGGCTTTACAGTTAGTTAAGCAGCATTCATCATATAGGTGTGAAACTGAAACTAGATACTTATTCGGACCACCTGAATTCACATCCAAATTATATAATGGGGTTCAGTTTACCATTTTTAGAATTTGTTATCTGCTAGTTTGATGATTTCCTTAGACTGCTTTCTTTTTCAGCTATTGTATTGTATGTCCTTTTGTTTGAATATCGAGTTTTGTATGAATTGTGTTATTTTTAAACTTTTCTTTATAATAAAATTTAAATTGAAACACAATTTTGAAATTCAGTATAAATTTTTAACTTGCTATAAAACCAGGTTTAACCAACCATTTTCTTTGGAAAATGCCTTTACCAAGACAGGAAATTGACAGTTGTTTTCCATTCGTTCCGTTGGTTGATAAAGTAAAACGTTTGATTTTGTCAGTTTTTATGGACAATTTTAATACGATATTTGCTGTAAAGGTTCTATGTTTTCCATTCATGAAAGTTCAATTTCATATATATAAAAGACGATAATTCAATGAGACAGCAATCCAACGACTTTCAAAACACAAAAAGTCACCAAAGGTCAACTAGGTCGGTTATCATCAAAAAGACATGTGTTTTTACAATATGTCAAAGACAGGCGATATATTCCAAAGAGACACTCATAAGTCGAAAATAAACTGACAACGCCATGGCTAAAAAAGAAAAAGACCAACAGACAAACAATAGTACACAAAACACAACATAGAAAACAAAAGACTGAGCAACACGAACCCCAACAAAAACTAGGGGTTATCTCAGGTGCTCCGGAAGGGTAAGCAGATCCTGCTCCACATGTGGCACCCGTCGTCTTGCTCATGTTAGTACAAACCCGGTAATAAGTATAATTCGGTAGGTCACATTCGGGAAAAGGGGACGGGATTGTAGTAACGACATTAGGAACATATCCGCTATCATCTGTGATTTCAACTTCACCACTTGGAACTCTTGGTTTAATAGCTTCCTTGTGAGCAGCAACCCTCTATCAAGGAAAACATGATAGGAAATACAAGCCCTGGAGTATCTTATCAACTGGGAGATATATACTTCGTATGCAGGCGCTGCTGGAATGTTGCTACATAAAAATGGAAAGTTCACAATTGGGAAGCTGAAATCATCTCTTTTGTCATAAAGTTTTGTTTTCAATCGACCCTCATTGTCAATTTCTAGATGTAAGTCAAGATATGAGGCAGACTTAACTGTATCTATTGTATCTTTATCTCAAGTTCGATGGGATAGATGCGTTCAACATAGTCACCAAATTTTGAATTATTTAGTGAGGGAACATCATCTATGGCTATGTAGCGGAAAGTAAAGTTAAAGGATACTGCTAACTTCTTTTCTTTCTTCCTAAGAAGTTCCTGTATGAAGTCAACCTCATATGAATAAAGGAACAAGTCGGCAAGAAGAGGGACACAGATAATAGACAGGTAAATAAATTAAACAAAAACCATCCCATTAAAACCAAATTTCTATAAGGACAAAAACAATTAGCTATTACTAAAGACAACCACAGAGGACCAATATCGAGGTTACTGGCATGACACATGAACATGTTTTATTCTGAATCAGATAAGATACGATAAGATTCGTTTCATAAAATAACGTTCAATAAAATTAGTTCAGTAAAAGCATTCAACTCTATAATATCTGTTTAATAGAATAACAAAAACACAAGTACAAAGTTTAACATGTCAAGAGGAACATCTGTGCCTGTATCGCTCGTCTGGTGAAAACACTTAGGACTTTTATATGCACATACTATAGTTTTTCTTTGTGTTGCTAATCATTTTTGCAATTAACATGTTTAACCTAGCACCTATTGGCTTTTTAGATAACAGCCAAAAACAGTAAAAAATCAACATTTCATGGGCAATAGCTCCAATACAGGTTGTCAAATTATCAGAGTAGATAGATCTTGTCATGCTGATCATTTTTGCAATTCACACCTAGATCCTATAATTTTCAAAATAACAGCATAAAATGCGAAAAATTGAGGGCAAAAATGTATATATTAGGAGAAATAACTGAACAGACAGATTTTTCTGAAATTTAAATGATTAAAGATCTTGTTGTGCTAATCATATTTTCGTTTTTATACTTTTAACCTAGCTCCTATATTTTTCCCGATAACAGCCAATAACAGCAAACCATGCTTCCTTCAGGGGCAATGACTCCAAAATGGGTCAAAAAAGTGTTCTCCAATTTTCAGGGTAGATATATATTGTCGTGCTGATCCTTTTTGCGCAAACACTTTTAACCTAGCTCCTTTAGTTTTCATGATAACAGCTAACAAGGGGTAATAACTCAAAAATTAGTTATTAGATTTTTTTCTAATATTCAGGGTGGATACATCTCGTCATGCTGATTATTTAATATTTTTGCATTTACGCTTTAAACCTAGCTCTTATAGTTTTTAACGTAATAGCAAAGAAATGCCAAAAAGATAAATATCAACATTTCAGGGGCAATAACTCAAAACCAGTGAACAGATTTTCCAAAATTTCAGGGTTGATAGAACAAGGTATGCTGACAATTTTTAATCTTATCAATATAGTTTTAGAGATATTCGCCAAAACTTAAGGTTAACCCTATGTTTTTTTTAGACATGGCAGCCATGTTGGTTGGTCAACCTGGACGAAAATTACAAATTTTATAGTTGATATCACACATATGAAGCAAACAAACTTTGGTTTCAATTCATTGAGAGAAATGTTATAAAGAAAAGATGACGGACGACGGACGCAAAGTGATGGCAAAATGAGCTGAAGATGAAATACGGCATCAAAGAATACTCGAAGTTACTAAAACACTCCAACTTTATTTACCTTATTTTTAAAGTCTTCAAAAATTATTATTACTATTATCATTTATTACTGAATACATAATTTTGTTATACAGTATATTTATGCAGTATCTTTAAAGTTTTTTTTTTCTATATAAAAATAAGGAGATGTGGTACATGTATGATAACCAATAAGACAGCTATCCACCAAAGTTCAAATAAAGTGGATGTAAGCTATTATAGGTAATCGTACGGCCTTCAACAATGAAAAAAACCTTTACCGTATAGTCGGCTATAAATGGCCCCGACATGAATAAAATGAAGCAAATGAGAAAACTAACGGCATATGTTATATCAAAACAATTTATGAAAATCAAATATGATAAACATGAGCCAACGACAAGCGCTGAACCACAGGCTCCTGACTTGGGACAGACACATAAAGAATGTGGCGGGATAAAACTCCAATCCGCCCCTAACCTGGAACATTGGAGTAAC